AATATGCAAACTCCACATAGAAATAGTCACCTTAGAATTATGAGGTTCTATCTGACATGTTTGTCAAAATTGAGTTATTGACATACTCTTACTAAATGACAACTTCTTTACATTATGGGATGTTTTTTTTTATAAGTTTACATTTTACGGCTGTTTATTTAAAAAGCAAATGTTACACACATACTGCGGAATGAAAAAACTTTGAAGCTCAACATCTCAAAATCAATCAGAATGCAGAGAGAATCTTACAATTCCAAAATGCCAACTGACCTAGCCAGGACTCGAACCAGCGACCTTCTTGCTGTGAGACGATCGTGCTACCCATTGCGCCTCTGTGACGATTTATATTAGACTTTTTTATGCACAACTAAATTGCTTAAACTCTATTAAAATGCTCACATAGTCATGGGCCCTGAGAAAACTCTCCACAATTTAAGTATGTTTTACCTGTGATTTTTGGACTCAACATTGCCTATCCTACAATGAGACTATTGCAGACTCGCACACTGAGATATTGAAGTTCAAATTTTATATTTTGCAGCCCTAGTATATATATATATATATATATATATATATATATATATATATATATATAGTTGAAGTCAGAATTATTAGCCCCCCTGATTTATTAGACCCCCTGTTTATTTTTTTCCCCAATCAAAGAGATTTTTTCAGCAAATTTCTAAACATTGTAGTTTTAATAATTAAGCAAGTTATAGTATAACGATGGTTTGTTCTGTAGACTATTGGAAATAAATTTAGCTTCAAGGGGCTAATAATTTAGTCCCTAAAATCATGTTTAAAAAATTAAAAACTGCTTTTATTTTAGCCTAAATTAAACAAATAAGACTTTCTCTAGAAGAAAAAATATTATCAGACATACTGCAAATTCCCTTGCTCTGTTAAACATCATTAAAAAATACTTAAAGAAAAACTAATTAAAACGGTGGCTAATAATTCTAACTTCAACTATATATATATATATATATATATATATATATATATATATATATATATATATATATATATATAACATTTTCACCACATTGTAATGTCAACCATATAGACAATATATACGAATACAAAAAGTCTCTTAATGATTATGTAGGCAACAAGAGAACAAATGTCAGACTTTTTGGTTATAATGTGAAGATTCTGCTTTAGTTTTCTCACTCAGAGGAAGAACACACACACAAAGAATGTTCGTCTTCTTTAAGGTCAGTCTAGTCTCTCTGGCAGGCATCTTATCAGCATGGCAGAACACACATGCCCGTACACACACACACACATACACTGTGAAAGCAGACTGTTACCAAAGAAATTCAGCTTACAGCAGAATTATTTTTATATTCTAACAAGCAGTAAAATCTTTCCGGCAATGGATATTAGCTAGCTTGAGCAATTTAAAAGTAGTTGTGTGATCACAAAACATAAATTAAAAACACAGTGCTTTGGCGTCGTGAAATTATGCTACATAAGACACACCAGCAGAATAGTTTGCAGGCTGAATAAAAATGCTAACTCATTCTCTGCCAGTAGGTGGCACCTATTGACCAGCAGTTGTATTTATTTGTTTATGTTTTAAAACAGGATAAGATTAAAAAGTAATCAGGTGTAAAGATGACTCTGAGGGTTGTGGATCCATTTGCAAGCTTTTATTGGAATGACACAATAATCCGATAGCCACTTTCTATGCAGTGTTAGTGACTGAGTAGATAAGCAGCAACAGTCCAGACAGTACTCGGGGTTTGCTGAAGATACTCACAGGCGAGATTCTAGACTATGGTCAATGCAGGCAGCATACGATTATAAACGGTGATATAGGCTATGGTCAGGGCAGACAGCGTATGGTTATAAACGATGAAACAGGCTATGGTCAGGGCAGGCAACATACGGTCATAAACAGCAATACAGGCTATGGTCATGGCAGGCAGCATACGGTCATAAACGGTGATACAGGCTATGGTCAGGGCAGGCCGCATACGGTCATAAAAGGTGATAGAGGCTATGGTCATGGCAGGCAGCATACGGTCATAATCGGGGATACAGGCTATTGTCAGGGCTGGCAGCATACGGTCATAATCGGGGATACAGGCTATTGTCAGGGCAGGCAGCATATGGTCATAAACGGTGATACAGGCTATGGTCAGGCAGGCAGCATACGGTCATAAACGGCAATACAAGCTATGGTCAGGGCAGGCAGCATACGGTCATGAACAGTGATACAGGCTATGTGGTTAGGACAGGCAGCATACGGTCAAAAACAGCAATACAGGCTATGGTCAGGGCAGGCAGCATACAATCAACAAATTAAAAATCAGGCAGTTGGCATCAGGATAACAGTCAGGATATACAAGAAACAATCCGAAATTTTTGCAAGCAAAACAAGACTTCGCACTGAGACTGAAAGATGGAGAGAGAAAGAGAGAAACAAAAACAGGCACAGACACTGGGCTGTAACAAACATGATTATATTATTTTACTCACAGTAAATACACGGCACTGTGTCTACATTATTCTACTGTATTCATCCATACATTCTCATTTGCTTATCCGAGGCTGGGTCACAGTGGCAGTAATCTCAACTTAAAATCCAGATCTTCCCCAGCTCCTCCAGGGGCATTTCAAGATGTTTACAGACAAGCAGAGATAAATAATCTCTCTCATTTTCTTTTGTTTGTTTGTGCTTTTGTTTAAAGAGTATGTTCTTGAGGTTTTTTTTGTCTCCTCTCCACCAATCAGCTGGTGTGTGGTGTGCGGTCTGGCGCAAAATGGCTGCCGTTGCGTCATCCAGGTGGATGCTGCACACTGGTGGTGGATGAGGAGATTCCCCCCCATTGTGTAAAGAGCTTTGAGTGCCCAGAAAAACACTATATAAATGTAAGAAATTATTATTATTATTTCTAATTGTTGTTGCCACAACTCCACAAACCCCCATGTCCAATGATGATTTGATTTACTTTTCATTTACCCTTGACCAGGGATGGGCAAACTTGGTCCTGGAGGGACAGTGTCATGCAGAGTTTTGTTCCATACTAATCAAACACACACAAACCTGCTATTCAGTGTCTTCAAGATCACTAGAAACCTATAGGCAAGCGTGTTTGATTAAGGTTGGAGCTAAACTTTGTAGGACCAAGTTTGCATATCCCTGTCCCAGACATTATTTGTTAAATGTAAATAAACTTATTTGTTTTCTTGAGGCCCAAATTGTGAAATGTCCCCTTTGAGCCAGGCCATGCACTCCCATGCACTCTGCCACTAAATATCAGTTTATGTTAACATTCCATAGGGGCACAAAATCAATCGCAAGATCTTTTACCAAGGTCAATCTTTTAGGCCTTTTTGTGAACATCTGTGAACTCCATAGATATATACACTAGATGTTGCCTGGCCTATTGTTGTCTATTGGACGGAATGCGTCAATAGCGCCGCCATCTTGCTACAGGGTAGCACTCCTTTGAAATGAATGCGGGACCAAGGTACAGTGGAGGACTGTGGCTATCCAAATCCAGAGATATACACATATACACATATATCTGTGATCGGGAGTTTTCCTGGATGTTAGTATATAAATTTTTTTTTCAAATTACGAAAATTATAATTTTACATCACTTTTCTACATTGATGGACCAGTGACTGCACGGGCATTCCTGACAAAAAGCTTGTGTTTGTGTGTACAGAAATTTACTATCCACCCCCCTGTTAAATTTGATCTAATCATGTCCTGAAACACAGCTCCTCTCCTGCTTTCACTTCTCATACTGACGGAGGGAGCGATTCGCTTGTGAATGAATCCCCCGAACGACTCTTTCACTAACCGACATTAATACAAGTTTCTGGCAGCGCAGCATCTCGTTGTCATATTTCCTTTGCATAGTTTGCTGATTTTATTCAACAAAACTAGCATAAGCCGAGTGTTTAGTGTGACTGTTATCATCAATAACGTTACCTGATTAGCACGAAAGTTCAGAACATACAAAAACAGAAAAAAAACGTAATATTACCAATGTTCTGCCTTTGTGCTTTTTCTTGGTTTGCTCGTTACTACACTCGTAGACAGCGCTAAAGTCCCGCATCTTCACGTAATAACACTGTCTTGACTAGTGCGGTTGAATGACATTTGTCCTGGGAGCACTGTACCAATGTGGCACTGTACCTATTGACGCATGCTCAGGGTCCCTATGCGATATCTAGTGTATATATCTATGTGTAAACTCTATGTAAACTGCTGAGTCTAATTGAGCAAACACTGCTACTTAATTCTTGACATGAATCAGAATATAGCCATCAGTTATAACAATAACACTAGAGGAGTTTAGTAGACTGTATTCCACCTCTTCAAAGCAGTGCGTTATTGTGAATGAGTTGTCCGAATATGTGCAAAACAGATAGGCACAGTTTTGCTCTAATCCTATAATAACACAGCTGATCCAACTAATCGAGGTGTTCAAGAGTAGTCTTGAACACCTTGATTAGTTGGAGCAGGTGTGTCTGATTGGGGCTGGAGCAAAACTGCAGAGCTGCAGACCTTCAGGCATTGACTTTGAGACCTGATCTAGAGCAGGGATCACCTTGAGGTCAAGTGTCCTGCAGATTTTAGCTCCAAACCTGAACAATCAAACACCTGAACAAGCTAATCAAGGTCTAAAGCTGTGGTCACACTTGAGTTTTCTCCCCATAGACTTCTATTTATACACACGCGAATGCGTCAGACCAGAAATGCGGGGTCATGCGTTAAGTTTCACTGGTCGCTGCGGTGCAAAGTTCAAGCTTGGTGAACTCTGACCTGCGAAATCATATCACTTGACTGCGTGAGACCAATCGATGATCAAAACACGACCTCTCTGGACAGAAATTTAAAACATGGAGCAATCGCTCGCTTTTTATAATATCTAATAATCTTGTTTAATCCCACCTCTTTTCACAGAGTCGCACGACAGAATTTCGCACACACGAACTCTAGTGTGACCGCAGCTTTACTAGGTATACTTGAAACACCCAGGCAGGTGCGTTGAGGCAAGTTGGAGGTAAAACCTGTAGGGCTCCGGACCTCCAGGAAGAGATTGGTGACCCCTGGTCTACAGTAATTATTTATATTCTTGATATTACACATCAAGTGTTTCAAATGTAATAATCAGACCTTGAGTATACCCTGCTGATGGAGCCAGATTTTGAAAAAGTGCACCATAGTCATCATCGATAAGATGTAGTTGTTGTGTACTTGATGCAGTCTTCTTATTTTAATTTCAGGCCAGATGGAGGAGACACGCCATCATCTCAAAACAACAGAAACAACCGAATTGCTAAAGAGAAAAGCCAAAAAATGTTTCACCTGCACTCAGTGTGGAAAGAGTCTGTCACACAAAAAGACTCTCAAGGTGCACATGAGGATCCACACTGGAGAGAATCTATTCACATGTTCTCAATGTGGGAAGAGTATGACATGCAAACAGACTCTCAAAAACCACATGAAGGTCCACAGCGAAGAAAAACCATTCACTTGTACTCAGTGTGGAAAGGGTCTGAAATCCAAACCGAGTCTTGCTTTTCACATGAGGATTCACACTGGAGAGAAACCGTTCACATGTTCTCAGTGTAGGGAGAGTTTCAGACACTCATCATCCCTTAACAGACACATGTTGATCCACACTGGAGAGAAAACACACAAATGTGATCAGTGCAGCAAAACATTTTTGAGGTCTTCAGAGCTGAAGAGACACCTTAGAGCTCATACAAAGCATCTTTTATGCCCTTCGTGTGGAAAGAGTTTTAAATATCTACACAGTTTAAAAGTTCACGAGAGGATCCACACTGGTGTGAGAGAGTTCATGTGCTTTGAGTGTGAGAAGACCTTTATGACGGCTAAAAATTTAAAACTACACCAGAGGATTCACACCGGAGAGAAACCTTACAAGTGTTCACACTGCGACAAGAGATTCAGTCATTTAGGAAGCCTAAAAAACCATGAGAGGACTCACACTGGTGAGAAACCTTATAAATGTTCACAGTGCGACAAGAGATTCAGTCAGTCAGTAGGCCTGAAATCACATGAGAGGATTCACACTGGAAAGAAACCTTACAAGTGTTTACTTTGTGGGAAAAGATTCCGTCATGTGGGAAGCTTGAAGAAACATAAGATGGTTCACACTGGAGAGAAACCGTACAAGTGTTCACACTGCGACAAAAGATTCCGTCATTCAGAAGTCCTGAAAATACATGAGATGATTCACACTGGAGAGAAACCTCACAAGTGTTCATCCTGCGACAAGAGATTCAGACATTTGGGAACCCTGAAAAGACATGAGCGAGTTCACACTGGAGAAAAACCTTACAAGTGTTCACACTGCGACAAGAGATTTAATCACTTAGAAGGCCTGAAATTACACAAGAGGAATCACACTGGAGATAAACCTTACATGTGTTTCCACTGTGACAAGAGATTCAGTCATTCAGGACATTTAAAAACACATGAGATGAGCCACACTGGAGAGAAACCTTACAAGTGTGGACACTGCAAAAAGAGATTCATCCGGTCAGAACATCTGAAAGTACATGAGAGGATTCACACTGGAGAGAAACCTTACAAGTGTTCACTCTGCGACAAGAGATTCATTCGGTCAGGACATCTGACAGTACATGAGAGGATTCACACTGGAGAGAAACCTTACAAGTGTTCACGCTGCGACAAGACTTTCAGTCAGTTAGCACATCTGAAATCACACAAGAGAAGTCACACTGGAGAGAAACCTTACAAGTGTTCACACTGCGACAAGAGATTCAGACAGTTAGAAAACCTGAAAACACATGAGAGGATTCACACTGGAGAGAAACCTTACAAGTGTTCACACTGCAGAAAGGGATTCAGTCATTCAAGACTCCTGAAGTCACATGAGAGGATTCACACAGAGAAGAATCACAGCTGACTATTATCTTGAGTGTTATTATCTTGAATAAATACTGGTGTTAGAGGTCAATGACGTTTCTGGGCAGAGAATTTGCTTGGTATGCATCTTAGCTTGATTTTTTTTTTAAATTTTGACTAGCTGAATGCAAACTTGATTGTGCCATGTACAGATTTCTATTCCTTAAAACATCACAGTCGTCTGCATCACCTGGCATCTGGAAGTGGAGCAGATGTGCTGAGGAGACGCACATTACCTGAACTCAAATCGTGAGTTATCTGCTTCATATCATGTTTAACAGCAGTATGCAGACCTTGCTGATGTATTTGTGCATGTATAGAAAGTGTGCTTGTGTTGTTCTAATTTAGATCTGATTTATATCATGAGTGGGATGTGCCAAATGTATGTTTACAGCATTGTGTAGTATCTATTAGGCTTGCTTTAGTGTGCAGTATTAATAATGCTGGAAATATAAACACTTTACTACTCCATAGTTTATTGTTTCGACAAGTTAGTACTTGACTAATTCCAATGGCGGCTAGTCAATAGGGGGCACGCTATTATCTAAAGATAGGGGCTGATGAACTCAGTCACTCGTTATCCTTCAGCTTAAGCCTGGTTTATACTTCTGCGTCAAGTGACCGGCGTAACCCATGGCGCATGCAAGTCATAAGGTCACCCGTAAGTGCCCGTAGCTGTGCTTTATACTTCTGTGCGCAGTCTGTTGGTCTGCATTAACACTTCCGAAACGCTAGTTGGCAGTGAGGTGTAAATGTTCCTCTGTGTCGAGTTTCTTCGCTGCTGTTTTGCTTTTCCTGAACACTTCCGGGATGTACAAGTGGCTCAAACTCGCTCATTTTGAGGCAGGAACCGGCGGACGTGCAACAACTTTAACTATGAGGTAAACATAAAACAAAACTTTCCATCTGGAGCTCCTTCACGGGACTCCACACTTGTAAACAATCGCTCCATTGGGCTCGCGCCATTCGCGTGGCTCTCGGTCCTGCCCAGACTCGTCAGCGCTACCAAGCCGACCAATCACAGAGCTTGTGCTACGCGTCGTTGCGACATGTAGTTAAATTTCTTGAGAGGTGCACGTCAGCGGCGCCGACAGCCACGTCGTAGGGCTATGCGTCAACGCCGTAGCATACACGTGCGTTTGACGCAGAAGTATAAACCATCCTTTAGTCTCTGATTTATCAGGGGTTGCCAAATACTCTGGCATATGTTTTTTATGCATCAGATGCCCTTCCAACTGCAACGCAGTTCATCCAATTCACTTATACTGCATGTCTTTGGATTGTGGGGGAATGCAGAGCACAAGAACATGGGGAGAACATGCAAACTCCACACAGAAATGCCAATTGGCCCGGCCGGGACTTGAACCTGCGAACCACTGAGCCACTGTAAAATTATATCAAATATATTACTTTATAAATTTCAAATCCATGAATTAATGTCTACAAATACACACTTTGTGTGCACAGGTTGCTGACTGGTGCCAACCAAATTAGGAAATTATATGTTTAAAAATCAAGTGACTTGATTGGCTTGAATCAGATTTGACTCAGGACTTGTCCACTTTAGTCTTTTAAATGAATCAGAATTGTTTCAAGAACAAAAGCTTAAATCGACTCATTTCATATTTCCAGCAGCGCTTGGCCAATCATGGTCATGCATTTGGGTTTCCCCAACACTCTCTTTGGTAAAGGGCTTGGCTGACAATGCTTGGTGAAGCTAAAATGGAAGATTGGCCCAATACCAATTCCACCCATTAGCCATGGATGGGCAGACTTCATCCTCGAGGGCCGGTGTCCCTGCAGAGTTTTGCTCTAACACTAATCAAACACACCGGAACATGCTAACCAGTGTCTTCAAGATCACTAGAAAGCTACAGGCAGGTGTGTTTGATTAGGGTTGGAGCAAAACTTTGCAAGACACCGGACCTCTAGGATTAAGTTTGCCTATACCTGCCCTTAGCCCTTCCTCCGTCTCTTTTTCACACATTCACTTGGTCATATGCAAGCAACTAATGTGCAATTATACATTGCATTTGTCAAGCATGACCATACACCCAACCCACTTTACAATCATGTTAGGGGTCTCTCCTCACCATCACCAGTGTGCAGTCTTCACTTGGTTCACTTGGATAATGAGATGACGGCCACAGGGCAACAGTGCCACTTGTAGGTGGAGTGGAAAGATAGCGATAGAACCACTCTGGTGGATTGGGATGATTGACCATGGTGGAGACCATAATGGCCAATGAAAGGAAGTTGACCACGACCTCTGTGTTACACCTCTGTTCTTTACAAGAAGTGCCATGTGATTTGTAATGACCATAAAGGGTCAGGACCTCGATTTAGGCCATGTTGACACGTACACAGGTATTTTTATAAACGAGTTTTCCCCACTTTCATTTTTAAAAAAATCTCTGTCCACATGAAAACACAATGTGTACGTTAAAGGTACGCCAAACCAACAGGTGGCGATAATGACACTTTTGTACAGAGTTCACACCAAGTGAGGAATTAAGTATATTTCACATGTGTTTGAAGTCAAGTCAATGCAAACTTGAGAACAGAGGCAGATTACTGTCCCACGGTTGAACAATCTGGAATATGCTATACATTTGCGAGAATGTGCAGAATTTGCCTCATTCACGTCTTCCATGTTTGGTGTGATCCCAGTTATGTTGGCCAGTTAGACAAACAAAAACAGCGCACATTCAGACGTCATGAGGCAAAAACTCCAGATGTAGTATCCACACAACCACACTGTACCCAGAGTTTTGGAAAAATGTTACCCTGGCTGGGGTTTTCAGCAAATTTCAGAATCAGTCACCCGATACTCTGTTTTGGTGTGGACAAACAGCAAAACCGCATAAAAAATGAGTTTGTTAAAATACCTATGTCTGTGTGGACAGGGCCTTAACGTCTTAGTTGAAGGATGCCACTCACTGACAGTATAGCATCCCCTTTACTAAACTGGGGCATTAGGACACACACAGACCGCAGGTTGAGCACCTCCTGCTGGCCTCACTTTCAACACCAATAGTGTTCTTAAGTGCTCTCGCATCCAGTTACAAACCAGGCTCAGCCCTGCTTCAGTGTGTCGCCGGTCTTGGGCTGCAGGCTGATATTGCTGTGGCCATGTGGAGTTGTGCACACACACACATCACGAGTGAGATTATGCAAAATTCATATAGACGCCTCGGTATTATGACCTGCCGAAATCTGAAACAATCCTGTGAAATTCCACACCCAAAACATGAACAGAGAAAACCATTGCTGTCAGGCATAACCCACTGTCCTCCTGATTGGTCAACTTCAGATGGATTGACAGATCTATCTAAAAATTTTGTGACATGTTTAAAAATAATGGTTTGCACTGTTGCCTCACAGCAAGAAGGTCACTGGTTTGAGTCCTCACTGGGCCCCGGCTATGTGGAGTGTGCATGTTCTCCCCATGTTGGTGCTCTGGTTTCCCCGACAGTCCCAACACATGCAGTATAAAGCCTGATTTATACTTCTGCGTCAAGTGACCGGCGTAACCTACGCCGCATGCAACGCACGTGGTTGTGCATTTATACTTCTGCGCGCTGGCTCTGTTGGTCTCCATTAACACTTCCGAAACGCTAGTTGGCAGTGAGGTGTAAATGTTCCTCTGTGTCGAGTTTCTTCGCTGCTTTTTTGCTATTCCTGAACACTTTCGGGATGTACAAGTGGCTCAAACTCGCTCATTTTGAGGCAGGAACCGGCGGACGTTCAACAACGTTAACTATGAGGTAAACACAAAACAAAACTCTCCACCTGGAGCTCCTTCACGGGACTCCACACTTGTAAACAATCGCTCCATCAGGCTCGCATCATTCACGCTGCTCTCGGTCCCGCCCAGACTCATCAGCGCTACCAAGCCGACCAATTACAAAGCTTACGCTACGCGTCATTGCGACATGTAGTTAAATTTTTTGAGAGGTGCACGTCAGCGACGCCGACAGCCAACAGCGAAGGGCTATGCGTCAGAGCCCTAGCATACGCCGGCATTTGACGCAGAAGTATAAATCAGCCTTAAGGGAATGGGATTAACTAATGTAGGGGGAGTGCGGGGTTTATTAACTTGTTTGCGCCCCACGCATTCGGTGTTGAGCCGCCTTTATTTGTTACATTCTATTTTTCTAAGGATTGTGGTGAATGCGTTTTGAAATTATTCATAATATTATGTTTTGAAAATGCATATTTTATTCATATTGATCTAATCTTCATTATATTGATCAAATACTCTTACGGTTTGCATGATTTGAAGTTTGTTTTATTAAATGTTTATGAATTCTTTCCTATATTATTAAATACTGTTAAGTCCTATATGTTTTTTTTTAAAGTTTTAACTTGTGTGTGTTTTTGAGATGTTGAATTGTCTTATGATTCTAGAGCAGGCATCTCACATATAGTAAAACCCAAGCTTAAATCTCAGTTTGCGAACCATGTTGACTGCGGGATTTAAAGGAAAGCTGTACTCAGCAGGCACAGGACGTCAACATAACATCAGATTGAAGTTATACCCCAACGTCATGGGGACATTGAATTTTGTTTGGAAATGAAAATCAGGTTGATGTCAGAACCCAACATCAGGCTAATGTCAAGGTCCAACGTCCAACCAAAAATCAACCAAATGTCTAATGATGTTACAGCTTGATGTTGTGTGGAGGTTACCACTATGACGTCTATCAGACGTTGAATTTTGGTTGCCCGACGAATAAATGTCAGTGTTTGACATCAATATGACGACGGATTTTGGTCACTTTCCACCATAACCTAAAATCAACCAAATATCAACGTCATCATTTTTGGACGTCAAAATAACGTGTCCTTAGACGCTTTTTAGACATTGAATTTGGTCACCTGGCATAGCGACCTAAGCCTAATATATTAATAATGTCTTATGGCATTGTGTACCTGCTGGGTACACTTTACATTTAAAACCAGTTTTAGAGCCTGAAGACGAGACTGAACAATATTAAAAGTGGACTGTAAAGATTGTAAGGTCTGGAAAAAGCACAAAATAAATTCACTGTATCATCAGCCTACAAATGATAAAAGGCATTTGGAAGATTTTCACACAAGTTGTTAATGTACATGGAGAATAATAAGGGTCCTAATACCGATCCCTGAGGCACTCCTTTGGGCACCAATATGGATAAGTAAGTCAAACCAGCCATATGAACACACTGTGTTCTGTTGGACTAGTTGGCAAACCAAGTCGTAGTGGACATGCCAATCCATGTTAAAGATTTAATTAAAAGTGTGTGGATCAACCGTGTCAAATGCCTTCGATTAATAAAAAGGGAAGTGCAATAATTCTTACAATCTATTGCCTGTAAGAAGTCCTATAAAACCTTTGTTTGAGTGTAGCAGAGACAGCGCTATGTTGCTTTCTGAATTCAGACTGGTAATATGATTTGAGATTCGACATTTTTTTGTTAAATAATTTTGCAGTGATACCATAATTTAGAAATTACATGCAAATATGAACACCCTTGAAAAAAAATTCTGCCTATTTTTATTTAACAACGTGTTTTGCATATCCGTCATTCTCTGAATGAATAGTCTAATGCCGGTTCACACCAGACACGGAAGAAGCATCAAGCGCGAGTGATTTACATGTTAAGTCAAAGCAAAGGCATGAATAGACATCCTGCGGCACGATACGTGCAAATGAGGCAGCGTAAATGACGCGATTCATGCGAACGAATTGGCGCGAGTTGAGCATTTTGCGTGATTAACGCACTTAACACGCGTATCGCTTGAATTGGAAAATCTACAGTGGACATTCGCGCTGCGTTAACCAATCAGAAACGTTCTCCAAATTTTCTTCTTGCAAATCCTTTTTTCTTCTTGCAAATCCGCATCTTGTTCACATGCTAATAGCCCAATTTATTCACAGCACACAGCATAATCCTGCGTTAACACCAGACGCAGAAGAAGTGTCAAGCGCAAGTGATTTTCATGTAAAGGGAATCTAATACTTTTCTGCGGTTTATATCTTTTAGATTGATCCTGTGCATGAATGTACTTTTCTTTTAACTATTGTATTACTCAATTATTTGTAAGATGATTTGATTATTAAAACTTAATGTTCAGTTTCAAGTGATTATTTTTTATTGCTCATTTGTATTTTTGAAACATTTTAATAAATTTGCATCTTCCTCTAATCTTAACATCGTTTTGTTATGAATGTTGTTTAGTCTGAATGTATATTTACAGAGATTTAGGTTTAAAAAAATACTATTATTTACTAGATATTACTGTTTACTAATAATAAAACTATTATTGTTGTGCCAGAGCCAGCAAATATATATTTTTGTTTATAATCAATTTAACTAAATTAAGAGGTTTTGTTGTACTGTATATAGGACAGATAATGCACAAGATGCATATAGCTGTTCTTCAGTCTATTTGTTCTGGTTTTGATTGTTTTGATTATTAGCAGATATATATATATATATATATATATATATATATATATATATATATATATATATATATATATATATATATATATGTATATATATATGCAACCTAAAACACGAATAAACTGTGATTTGCACTGTAAAGATAAGGGCCATAGCATGAGATATGTGAAGTTTTAGATTTTTTCAGTGTCTTTGTCATGGGTGGAAAAGTACCGCAGTTTTGTGCTGTGACCTTGAAAGTGAGAGCGCACAGGAGAAACGCAGGAGTAGGAGAAAAGCCTCCTTTTCTTGGCACACTGACTATCTGACTTTCTTTTGTAAGACTGAGCCCGAAACTGAACATTTACTCACTATTTCCTTCCTTATCTTTACAAGTTTCTTTTTTTTTGGTTGGACACAAATGCAGATGTTTTGAAGAACACTAAAAACTATTGACTTGGATAGAAAACAAATACTGTGGAAGCCAATGAGTCCAGCATTCTTCAAAATATCTTCTTTTCATGTTCAGCAGAATAAAGAAATTCATAAAAGGTTTGAAACAAGCTAAGGGAAAGTAAATGAAGACAGAAACCTGTTTTACTTTCATGCAAACCTGTGTATATATGTATATCATACTTTCATGCAAACCTATATATATATATATATATACATACATACACATTAAAACACTTCTATACAGCTTAAAGTGACATTTAAAGGCTTAATTAGGTTAACTAGGCAGGTTAGGGTAATTAGGCAAGTTATTGTATAATGATGGTTTGTTCTGTAGACTATTAAAAAATATATATATAGTCTAAAGGGGCTAATAATTTTGTCCCTAAATGGTTTTTAAAAATTTTAAAACTGCTTTTATTCTAGCCGAAATAAAACAAATAAGACTTTCTCCAGAAGAAAATATATTATCAGACATACTGTAAAAACGTCCTTGCTCTGTTAAACATCATTTGGGAAATATTTAAAAAAGAAAAAAATAACTCAAAGAGGGGCTAATAATCCTGACGTCAACTGTATATAATATGAAATTACAAATAGCCTATCGTATATGTAACACGGCATTAAATTACTTAATGTTTATTTCTTTGCATTTTAACTTTGTAAACTATAAAATAACGTGTCTCCTCATGTTTTGTGTGTGGAACTAATGTTTTAGTCTTGAGCTGGTCAGCTGACTGACAGTTGTTCTCCCGCTCTTTTCCTCCTGCTCTGCCAGCCACGCCCACTTCTCCCTCTGCTCTGCTCCACCCCCATTTTGTAGCATTTTTTGAAAACATTCTGAGGTAGACTTGAACTGAAAGAGGAGGGTTTCATTACCCCTTTAACGAATACTTCTTAACTCTTCACGTTTCTTCATTATACCGGAAATACAGGGCAAAGCCTACTGGTATTCAACAGCGATTTCATATCTAAACAGGTATGTTGCTTTTCTTTCTCTTTGTTGGTTATAGTTTAGTGTTTTTGGTTAGCAGTTAACAGTTAACCGTTATTAACTACTGAAAGATTAAACTAACTATTATCAGCTTAAACTAGTAGCTGGGCAAAGCTGGTTGACCAGCTTGGCTGAGCTGGTGGACCTGCTGTTGCAGTTATTTTGATATTTGGAAACACATTATTTACATATTTCTTCATATCATTCTTGTAAAACACTCTTCAGGCATTTTTGACAATGGAAAACTGCCATTTTAAATGTTTTACACACTGAAGTGACACACTGAAAAGTCTGCCTCCACTTATACACACCTCCAACACAAAGAATAGCAAAGAGGCTAACCGCAGTGAGGCAAACAGGAAAAGCTGACACTGTGTCAACGCGAGAAAGAGGAAGAGTGAAAACAGAAAGATTGCAGACGTGCCAAAAGAGGAGACGTTAAGCAGCCGGGTCAACATCCGTTCAAAAGAGAGGGAGAGAGAGAGAGCAGCGGCGCTGATAGTAGATGAGCAGAAACTAAGCTACATATGCAGGTGCACAGATAAGAAAATGGGAGAGGTTCAGTGGTTAGCACTGTCGCCTCACAGCAAGAGGGCCACTGGTTAAAGTCCTGGCTGGACTAGCTGGCATTTCTGTGTGGAGTTGGCATGTTCTCCGTGAGTTGATCCGGTTTCCCACACAGTCCAAACACATGCACTATAGGGGAATTGGATGAACTAAACTGGCCGTAATGTACGAGTGTGTGAGGGAATGTGAGAGTGTATGGGTGTTTCCCAGTGCTCAGTTGTGGCTGGAAGCATACGCTAGAATAGTTGGCAGTTCATTCCTCTATTCTTGGTGTGAGGTGACAGTCCTAACCACTGAGCCACTGTGCTGCCTACATGAATAACATGCAAGTTTAAACTGTTTTAAACTTTGACATTGTTCATTTGTTCATGTTAACTAATGCATTTAAAAAAGCCTCAGCTTCAGCCTGCATGTTGTTGATGTTTGCCAGACTTTACTTACATGATTTATCACCAACACATTTGTAGTAGCAATTGGAAACCTTATTGTGTACCGTACAACATTATCTAGTCCACGGATGTTCAAACTCTGTACTTGAGGACCGGTGTCCTGCTGAGTTTAGCTCCAACTTGCTTCAACACCAGAAAGTTTCTAGTATGTCTAGTAAGAGCTTAATTAGCTGCTTCAGGTGAGTTTGATTAGGGTTGGAGCTAAACTCTGTGGGACACTGGCCCTCCAGGACGGAGATTGGACACCCCTGATCTAATGCAACCCAGGCTCATTCTGAAAATGTACCTAGTATACATTTCTGGAGAGCGCCAAATATGTCCCAGGAAGTACTTTTTTTTTTTTGCAGTTTTTGTTTTTGCGAATCCACCAGAGGCAGCAATGTACACGTGAGATCTCAAATTTTTTTGCGAGTGCCATTTGCATCTGCTCTTCTTGCGTAAATCCACCAGAGGCTGCTGTCGACTGACTGAATGACCGACCGACCGGCTGACCCACCCTCACCCTTCCCTAAGCCCAACCAATAGTGTTTTCAAAAGCACTGATTGACCCGCATACCCCCTTCCCTAAACCCAACCGACAGTGTTTTGAAAAGAAGAACCCTCGCAGCAGCCTGATTTTTCCCATGTTTTCAGATTTTACCACATTCTCAACCTGTTATTTACTTTTACATTTTTTTGCTATTGTTTGTCCCGCTTTCTGGAACTGTCCTTTGCTGACTCAAACCCTGTCATCATGGTCAACTCCTCTCTGTATCTCAAGTCGATACGGAGGTAAGCACTCAGCTAGTGAGCGTGAAAAAGAACAGTTTTATACCGCCTCGTAGTGTTCATTTTAAAGATACGTTTCTCTGGCTACATAATTTGCGATCTCCAGAATTGTATATGGGGTACGTTTTCAGAATGAGCCTATGTTAATAATTGCACACATGCATGCATATATAAATTGTGTGTAGTTTTGTTTCCATTAGGGCAGTAACGATACACCAAACCCACGATTCGGTTCGTATCACGATTTTTGACCCACGATTCGGTTCGTATCACGATTTTTTTTTTCGTGGGGGGTGGGGAAAAAAAAAGATTTTTAAAACTATTTTTTATTAAATAACATTTGAAAAATCTTTATAAACTAAACATCAAAGAACAATATTAACTATGCAAATTATTAACAATATAAATAGCCATGTATAAAATAAATAAATAGCCAAAGCTATATCACTTCTGTTTTCATTGTAACAAAATACTGTTGAAAAAACAAACAAAACTAAACTCCATTGTGTAGATGGTTCAAGCATGTTGAAAATTCTTTTTCAATCAAGTTCTCTTACATAGAAAAAGTAAATTAAATGGCTACTAGGGATGCTCATTTCGTTAATTTTGCTAACCGACAACCGCCGCTCATTAATCGGTTATTACCGGTTAACTGGTCAGATTACTTTTAATTTTAAATTAAACAAATTGACGTGTCTATTTTGTGTCTGACACATTAAATATTGCATTTTAAAATACTGATTTATTTTTAAATGCTAGCATATTAATAATAGAACATAACAACAGAGCATCTTCACGCACCTGCAGTGTTTAGCACAGAAGAGCAGAATAATCTAAATAAAATGAATGAAAAAATAGGACTGCCCTAAATTATTTTCACTTAAATAATTAATTTATATTACAAAATGAAAATACTGACTGATTATTTTTAATAAGCGGCATGGGCTTTTTTTTTCCAATCATATGTTTTTTTTCTTCCGTCAAATAAAAATCGCTGACTTCCTCAAATTGCTCGCTTCACGGAAAATATGCATTTATTTAATGCCCCGCTGTTATTATTATAATCACAAAACCTTTTACATTTTAATAGAAATCATTATTTTAAAGATTATGTCCTGATATATAGCCTATGGTTTCCTCTCTCTCCCTCGCGGTTCAAGTGCGCGCGCTGCGTGATGAAAAGACAGCAACAACGCGCGCATATGAAGACTTTTTGTAAACAGTTTTGTTGTTTAAATATGATATTGCATTAATGTGCATACATGCTTTATAAGCTGTAAAATAAAAAGTAAAGCCTATTTGTTGCGTTTATTACGCAGATCCAGGTCAACATCAGCGCTGGTTAAGCATCAACAGGTCTGTATCAAACAGCAATATTCTTCTTCCATTTTGCTTCTTTGGCAAATGTGTCTGTAGGCACGGGTTATACGTTATCGTCCCGCAAATTAAGTATGCCTTGCAGTTAAACAAGGGGCGAAAACGAGGCGCACCTCACTGCCTTTATGTTGACAAGGAAAAAAGAAGAGGCGCGGTCCTCTTATGAAACGACTGAATCAGCTGGGTATCGATTGTGCAAAAGTGTTGCTGTCTGTGTTGTTACAATTGTAATATTTAATATTATTGTGATATTCAAGGTTTGTATATTCATACAGCTCTGGATAACTTAAAACAGCAATTAGACCTTCAGAGCGGCATTAATGCGTCCTGAAGTAAAGCGAAACGGCTATAAACTCCAGCAAGATAGAGTGATTATATGCAGAGCCATATACCTTTATCTCTAAATAAAGTATAACTATAGAAACTGTGTTCATCTTAACTTAAAGCTTCGTCGTGTTTTCTGACCTCACGCATCGCGCACCTGTCAGTCAGCACTCTCAAAGGTTCAAACAGAAAGCACACAGCGCGGTTACAGAAAAGTTTGCGCTGTTACCTGACATCTGGTGAACGCCCATCCCTCTCTGTGCAGCCACATTAACAGTGTGAGCAAATCATCGTATATGCGCTGAAAATCCAGCCGCTTTGACAGCATTGGCAATGTTTCTGGCGTTGTCTGTTGTCAAGCGGGGTTAAGTTGGTTTTGTTTTTGATATTCCTGACACATTCAGACGGTCCCTTACTAAGAGCTCCGTGCGAGCTCTCCCGGCTAAATATTGCGAGGGCTTAAACGGAGCAGTGCTTGTAATGTCGAACGAAAAAAAAGTGTTAATTAGCTCAACTTTTGCAGGCACGCGTGACGTTATTGGAAAGGTATCACGGGGTGTGTCGCAATTCTCCCTGGACACAGGATCGTAGATATGAGTGTCGCGATTTCGATTTTATATTGTGTATCGTTACAGCCCTAGTTTCCATGTATGTGTGTGTGCATCACGTATACATAATAAATAAATCTGTCAACATTTTTAATACAAGCCATTATTTTAAAGATTGTGTCTTGAGCATTTAATTTTACCTCAGTGCTTGTGTGATTTTATTTTCTCCGTCTCACTCGCGGTGAGTTCAGATGAGGCAGTGTTTTGCTAAACTGTCCTAAGTTTGTTGTAGTACAGAAATATCAATAAACCAATATGGGTTTTGCTGAAAGCCTGGTTATCTTACTAGCAACAAGATACAATAATGGTGTAATCAAGCTAGATGGCCACCTGCTCATCGGGAAGAAAGAGGTGGAGAATTGACAAATATTTTAAATAATTTAAAATTAGAAAAATAAAACAGATGGCAGTTCCTCATGGAGACTGCTGTCAAACCAAAACCAAAAGCAACACATAAAACGTCCAGGCCTGGTCCTCTCGCTTCCTCCACTGCTGTGTTCTTCTTTTAACATCCAGAGCTCCTCCATGAGACTCAAACAGGTGATGCGTGCAGGTGTCTCTAATTAGCACTCCTGCCTTCCACCTTGTATGCCCCCATGGCTCTCTCACTCGCTACATAGTCCCATCACCCCTTGCAGGCCAGGGACACCATGAGGCAGTTCATACTCTCTGGGGGGCTGGAACCTGGGAGACGAGAGATGGAAGAGTGAAGAGAGACAAATAGGGTTCAGTTCTCCAACCTGTTGTCATTCGGTCCTCAACCAAAGATCTGATATTGATGGGAGCCCTATGGAGGAATCTATTCCCCCGTCCCTCTTCTGATGTCCAGCAACGGCTCCTCCAGTTGGCGGAATGCTTTTGTCTTCTGCTCCATTCCCACTTGGGTGGATAGTAGCAGGCTTCGGCTTTATGGCAGATAGTGGTGACTCCCCTGGCCTTTTCTGGAATGGCTTCTGGCTCTTTATCCGCCGGTGTTGAGCCCCACAACCTCCCCATGCAAAGAGACGGCGGAAGGCAGACCACTCCTTTGCATGGTGATGCGTGCAGGTTGTCGGTAATTAGCACTCCTGCCACCCATCTTGTATACCTTCACGGCTCTCTGCCCTGCCTCATTTGCTACATACCCCATCACCCCTCACAGGCTGGGGGCACCCCGAGTTGATGCATACTCCCTGGAGAAGGGAGAACCTGAGAAACAGGGCAAGAGAAAAGGAGATAAAAGGCAGAGTGAGAGACAGAGAAAGGGGAGAGTGGGATAAGAAAAAATAGTTAGGGGTCGGTTCTCCAAACACATTGCCATTTGGCCCTCAACCAGCTGAGAGATCTGACAACGATGTGCTGGGAGTCCAGTGGAGGAATCTATCTACCTGTCTGTCTTCTGGTTTTCAGTGACGGCTCCTCCAGCTGGTGGAATGCTTTTGTTTCCTGCTCCACTTCCACTTTGGTGGATGGTAGCAGCCTTCGGCTTCATGGCAGACCGCCTGCCTCACTTGCTAAAAATGGTATTCGAGATTTTAACAGAAATTCATATTAAGGTCTTATGAATGTCATAATGTATAGAATGCCCTAAATATTGTGGCCTATAGCCTAGTTGATGGCAAAAAAGTGAAGTTTTAATTTTATTGAAATTGTGTCATCTGTCAAATGCAGGTCAGTTCTTTACAGAAGCTTTAAACAGATGTGTTGTGGCCGCAGTAACAATGATCATTTCATTTGTAGATTTTATAGGATAGAGTTGTTTCAGTGCAGTTTGTGTACAAAGTTAAACTGTGATCAACTGAACTGAATAAAAAAAAGTCTTTAAATGCTGTCACCTTTTTTTATTTCAGGCCTAATGGAGGAGACACGCCAACATGTGAAAAAGAGAGGGAAAACTCAATTACTGAAAAGAGAAGAGAAACGCTCAGATTTCTCCTGCGCTCAGTGTGGAAAGAGTCTGTCATGCAAAAAAACTCTGAATTATCACATGAGGATCCACACTGGAGAGAAACCATTCACATGTTCTCAGTGTGGGGAGAGTTTCAGATACTTAACATCCCTTAATAAACACAAGAGGACCCACACCGGAGAGACACCATTCACCTGCACTCAGTGTGGCTCGAGTCTGAATTGCAAACAGAGTCTGGAGATGCACATGAGGATCCACACTGGAGAGAAACCGTTCACATGTTCTCAGTGTGGGAAGAGTTTCAGTCAAGCCTCATCCCGTAATAGACACATGATCATCCACAATGGAGAGAAAACACACGAATGTGACCAATGTGGGAAAGCCTTTTTGAGGGCTTCAGAACTGAAGATTCACCTTAGAGTTCATACAAAGGAGAAATCCTATTCATGCTCTGCGTGTCAAAAGAGTTTTAAACACCTCCACACTTTAAGAGTTCATGAGAAGACCCACACTGGAGTGAGAGAGTTCATGTGCTTTGAGTGTGAGAAGACCTTTATTACAGCTATAGCCTTGAAACTGCACAAGAGGACTCACACTGAAGAGAAACCCTATAATTGTGAACACTGTGACAAAAGATTCAGACGGTTAGATTCACTGAAAACACATGAGAGGATTCACACTGGAGAGAAACCTTATAAATGTTCACAATGCGATAAGAGATTCAGTCAGTCAGAAACCCTTAAGTTACATGAGAGGATTCACACTGGAAAGAAACCTTACAAGTGTTTACTCTGCGGGAAAAGATTCCGTCATTTGGGAAGCTTGAAGAAACATAAGAGGGTTCACACTGGAGAGAAACCGTACAAGTGTTCACACTGCGACAAAAGATTCAGTCAGTCAGAAGGCCTGAAAATACATGAAATGATTCACAATGAAGAGAAACCTTACAAGTGTTCACACTGCGACAAGAGATTCAGACTGTTAGGAACCCTGAAAAGACATGAGCGAGTTCACACTGGAGAAAAACCTTATAAGTGTTCACAGTGCGACAAGAGATTTAATCACTTAGAAGGCCTGAAATTACACAAGAGGAATCACACTGGAGATAAACCTTACATGTGTTTCCACTGTGACAAGAGATTCAGTCATTCAGGACATTTAAAAACACATGAGATGAGCCACACTGGAGAGAAACCTTACAAGTGTGGACACTGCGACAAGAGATTCATCCGGTCAGAACATCTGAAAATACATGAGAGAATTCACACTGGAGAGAAACCTTACAAGTGTTCACTCTGCGACAAGAGATTCAGTTGCTCAGGAAGCCTGACAACACATGAGAGGATTCACACTGGAGAGAAACCCTACAAGTGTTCCCTCTGCGACAAGACTTTCAGTCAGTCAGGACATCTGAAATCACACGAGAGATATCACACTGGAGAGACCCCAACAAGTGTTCACACTGCAGAAAGGGATTTAGGAATTTAAGACCCCTGAAGTCACATGAGAGGATTCACACTAGTGATGTGCAATACCACTGGTTTACTATTCAATCTGACACCAAGTAAAATAAAGGCGAGTATCGGGGATACCGATACTTTGCCCAAAAATTACTGTTTGGTAAATTAAAGGGCCATGAAACCCCCTCGTTTCAGCAGGGTGTTTTCACACTTCTACTTTGGAAAAAGTCAGAAAAGTGGGCGTGTCCAGCTCTGTTTAGGGGGGAGTGTCGAAGGAAGAAAAGTGGGATGGTGTGGGAGTGTCTATTTGGGCACGCGCGAGTTTCAGAGTCAAAATATACACACACACACACACACACACACACACACACACACACACACACACACACAGGAGAAAGTGATGGTGTTTAACCTACATGGACATCTGTAGTCGAATTATTTGCCAAATTATTAAATGTTGGACTTTAACTGCAGTTTGGCTCTTTCATTCAAGGAATTCATTCATGCCCCTCGCGACAAACGAGATATTTGATTCGAGGAACTGCTCTAAGCGTGTATTTTTCATGCAATGTTTGATACCGCACGGCGAATGAGAGAAAAAAAACAGCATTTCCCGGAAACTTACATGCACTCGGCAGGTAGATTCAGAAAGCCGCGTGTGTTATTCCGGTCACAAAATGCGGCGAAAATCCTACACGAGGTTAAAGTTTGGTTGTGGTGCTAACATGTTTACACTTGGTGCAATGGTTAACTTAGTTCGATACGAACAAACTGAATAAACAAAGAGCGCTGGTCGCTCACTTACCAAATCTGTAGAGACAGGACAATCACCAGCAACTAGAGCCGCGTCTTTATTAAGAGAAGACTACAAGTGAATCCGGATCTCAGCGTTTGCAGATGAGAACAGCTCTCAGGTAAACAATAATCCTCCTTAGACACGTAAGTTATTGTTGTCGAGCGTCGCGTACACTGTTAATCCACACATGAGTCTGAGCTCTCACAGAGAGAAAATGAAAACGAAACTTAACTGCAGCAAACTATAAAAGCAACACTTCACGCTTGTTTTGCCAACACAACGTGGCGTCTCTGTCGTCTAAACACTATGACACTAATGAATATTAATGAAGTTGCACAATAGAGCGCGCTAATTGGTTTGAACCAAGCCTTACTCATGCATTAATGCATCACACTGTAAGACGTAATAAGACACACTCTGGCACAGACGTCCAGTCTGCACGCTGGAATACACGCTATTATGTCGTGACCGTGACGCAGCTTCAAAAATTCGTTTCAAACCGGAAGTACAAATTTGAAATAACTTGAAATAACGCAAAAACAACCAATTTACACTTTTTAGTGAAATATAGGTGTCTAATAGTGTTTTTAGCAGTGTGGGACACACATACGACTGTCAACAGCTCAAAGAAATGTGTTTTGGTGTTTCGTGACCCTTTAAAGTAGCAAGTAGTGTACTAAAAAGTGTCATTTCATACTAATACTGAACACGAGGCATATTACAGGTTATTCTTGTATATTGATGAAGAATTATCATACAAAAAAGAGCCAACTTACATATTTATTGAAAGCATTCGAGCATGAATGTCTTAAAACTTCTGCCCGAACATCCTAACAAAAAATAAACATTCACACTTTTTGGTGTAGTGACATGTTAATCCGGACCCCTTGAAGATTTCTGAACCATTGTTTTATCATTGTCACATTTTCTCCCTCTGTACCTGGATAGTTTCTGCCTGCTACACCTAAGGACTCTGAAAGTGATGTCTGTCTCGCCCTAGTAGCACCTGCCTCTCGTTTCTTCCTCTTCTGACCGCCTAGTCAGGGTGTTGTCATATTCTGTCTTGTGATTTATATGTAGATGTTTGATTATGTTTGTGGTATTACCACAGTACCTCACTGTTGTGTTACACGTGTCACAAACCGCATTGTTTGAGTTCATGGAAGTGAACAGGGCCGGAGTGGGACTCTTTTTCAGCCCTGGAGTTTCAAGCCTCAGACCGGCCCACCTCAGTTCACCACTGACTATATTAAAATAAGGTTATTTCCAATTCAGTTTCTAATTACACTATCACGTCTTTTTTTGAGAAAACAGCTCTTTTAGAACGTCAAACGTTCAACAACCCTTACAGTATTATGTCTTAACAATAAAAATGAAAAAAAAAAAAAATTGTTATTCAGACAAGGACCGAACCCAGGTTGGCCGCGTCATAATCTAACGTACAAACCACTGTACCACAACAGCTGTACGATTCATGGTGACTTATCTAGTTATATCATCATTAACCTGCATCCTGCTCACGAGGCTACGAGAAAATAGATAAAAAGAGCAGAGCTTCGGTAAAATAATGAATAAGAAGGCTGTGGTCAAGTAAATAAATAAATTATTTTTAAAAAGTGTGACTGCTGAGAGCAACCGATTCTGGAACTAGGGACACCAGCCCTCGCGGCCAAAAAACGGACCAGCCCACCGGGAATTTCCCGGTCCTCCCGAATAGCCAATCCGGGCCTGGAAGTGAAGTAGCTCCACACATAGCTTCGCTTGCGGCCACCCATATCCAACAACAGCATGACAGAACAACATGCGCCAGGCTAGTCGACTGAGTGCCTAGCTAGCGTGCTCTGAAGTTGTACAGTGCCAAATTACGCACATGACTTACCAGGCGGAAGAACAAGTAGTTCCGACTAAGTTGGCATTATTCAGACAAACTAGAATAATTGTGGTTACTTAACACTGTATTTCTGTTTCCAATAAACTACATATTTGCTCCAAATTACTGAAATATCGATATTTTGATAAGATAATCGATTCTAGAACATACAAAGCTGTTATCGGAGATGTCGATATTTTAGTATCGATCCGCACATCACTAATTCACACTGAAGAGAAGAGAATCACAGCTGACTATTATCTTGAAAGTTATTATCTTGAATGAATACTGGGGTTAGAGGTCAATGACGTTTCTGGGCAGAGATTTGCTTGGTATGCAGCTTAGCTTAGCTTCGATTTTGACTAGCTGAATGCAAACTTGATTGTGCCATGTGCAGATTTCTATTCCTTAAAACATCACAGTCATCTGCATCACCTGGCATCTGGAAGTGGAGCAGATGTGCTGAGGAGACACACATTACCTGAACTCAAATCGTGAGTTATCTGCTTCATATCATGTTTAACAGCAGTATGCAGACCTTGCTGATGTATATGTGCACGTATAGAAAGTGTGCTTGTGTTGTTCTTATTTAGATCTGATTTATATCATGAATGGGATGTGCCAAATGTAAGTGTACAGCATTGTTTAGTCTCCACAGCATTAATAGTTTTGCTATGCTAAAAACTATTATTTGGAAAGAAAAAAGTAGCAAGTTTAAGTTATCACTCACATCAATTGATTAAAAACATGAAATTATGAATAAAATTCTACAAATAAATACACACATGTAAAGTTAGACCAGAAGTTTACACACACTAAAAAAAGGAACATAACCATTATTTTTAAATGTCTGATGGTAAATCATACTAAATGTTTACTATTTTAGGTCTGTTAGGATTACCTAAATGATTTACATTAAAGTGTATAACTTTTTATGTTTTGGGTATCCTTTCACTAGCTTCTCACAATAGTTTGCAGGAATTTTGGCCCATTCCTCCTGACAGAATTGGATTTAGATTTGCTCGCACAAGCTTTTTCAACTCTGCCCACAAATTTTCTATAGGATTGAGATCAGGGCTTTGTGATGGCCACTCAAAAACATTCACTCTGTTGTCTATAAAGCACATTTTGACTAATTTGGCAGTGTGCCTAGGGTCATGGTCTGTTTGGAAGACCCATTTGTGGCCAAGTTTAAATTTCCTGGCTGATGTCTTGAGATGTTGCTTCAGTATTTCTACATCATGTTCTTTCTTCATGATGCCATCTATGCTGTGAAGTGGACCAGTCCCTCCAGCAGCAAAACAGCCCCACAACATAATGCTTTGTCCTCCAAATGTAACTCTGGTCATTATGGCCGAACAGTTCAATCTTAGGCCCCGTTTACACTAATGCGTTTTAGTTTGAAAACGCATACGTTTTGCTACGGTTACGCCAACCGTCCACACTACGCCGGAGTTCTCGAGCGCTGAAAATGCTGGAGAGGCCGTTTTTATTCTGAAACGCTGCTGCTCCGTCTCAGTGTGGATGATGGAAAACGAAGACATCTGAAAACGGAGGCGGGGCTGCAGACATTCGCCTCTCTGATTGGGGCTTTTCCTCAATATTAAGTAGCCTAACACACACAGTTCAGTCCTGCATTCTCTCCTTGTAAGTTCAGACTTCGCAAGTTTGATCAAGGCTGCAGTCTCTTCTTTTCAGTTTGATATGGACAACATACCGAGGACACAGGTAAATCTTTAAAGGGAACAGTGTACTTTATTACTTCATTCACATCACCTGGCTACGTTGTTTCACTTTCTCAACAATAAAATGTAAACATGATTTAGGAACTGCCTATTATGCAGAAATGTTGAGGCGTCGTGCTGCATGAGCGTCATCTTCACTGTGTGGATATTTATAACAAAACGGAGCCGATAACAACTGCCTCCTTTCAATTTCAGTGAAAATACGAAACACACCCTCTCTTTTGCTGAATATCAGTTTTAATAATCGATAACGGCCATTATAAAAGTATAACATACAATAAGTTTATACATTATAGGAAATAAAGGCAAGCGATCAGTCAATATGCAGAATAGGCTACGTGGTTACATTAATCATTAACTTATCTTTGCGCTCAGCCAAAACACGTTACCTGAGAAAAAGTAATGGATTCCAATGACCAAAGTCAGGGAATATGTCGTTAGATAAAGACAACAAGATAAATGAAATATCACGTTTAATAAATATAGTGAGATTTGATCCAGCGGGAGATGCTTGATGAGAAGTCCGACTAGCAAAGTTCTCATCTGGGTAGATGGGCTGCAGCGCTTGCCCGAGAGTGTCTGTGTGGTCACGTGATGTGCGTTTTCAGCTTTTTGGTGTGGACGGAGAGCTGTTCAGAAACGCTGGGTAAAACGC